GGCAAATATTCTTCCTACTGTTCAATCAGGCTTCAGAACTCACTTTAGCACGACCACTGTTTTAAGTTCCCTAATTGATGACGTATTGAAAGGCTGCTGTGACAGTAAAGTAACTTCACTTACTTTATTGGACATGTCTAAAGCGTTCGATGCGGTTAATTTTAAGTTATTGCTTGCTAAGCTAAAATATTATGGCCTTTCTGAAAACTGCGTAACTTCGCTCGAAAACTACCTTCTTAATAGATCTCAAGTCGTATCCTGTCATGGTTCTATTTCTAAACCTCTTACAATAAAAAGTGGTGTACCTCAAGGATCTGTACTAGGTCCTGTCTTGTTTTCTATTTATACGGCTGACTTCTCTAAATATCTTCAACATTGTCAACTTCATATGTATGCTGACGACTTTCAAATTTATTATTCTTTTAATCATGTATCTGAACATAACGCTCCAGAAAAAATTAACTCAGATCTTGAACGTTCACGTGAATGGACTTGTAAGACCTGTCTTTCCTTAAATCTTGCAAAAACTATTTCAATTACTTTGGGTACACCAAATAAAATAAGACAATAAACTCAGATCTTAATCTTCATATTGGAGGTACCACTATTTCTTCTGTCCGAGTAGTTAAAAGTCTTGGGTTACATATTGATAATCAGCTAAAATTTACTGACCATATAAATAAGATCTGCCAAACTACATTTAATGGATTCAAATTGATTTCCCCTTATAAGAACCTTTTAGACATTCGCTCCAAACGCCTGTTGACTGATGCCTTGATACTATCACATTTAAACTATGCTGACATAGTATATGGTCCCTGTCTATCTTGTGTGGACAAATATCGTTTGCAAAAGATTCAAAACATTTGTGTGAGATATATTTATTCTATTCCACGTGATACCCACATTACACCTTTTGTACGGAATTTAGGCTGGATGAAAATGCATGAAAGACGTTTTCATCACTTTATCAAACTCATAATAAAGATCCGACTTCATAATGAGCCTCACTAACTGCAAAATAAAATTTCAATTCGTAGTTCTGTACATGACAGAAACCTGCGACAAATGGATTTGACTGTTGACATACCTTCTCATTCTTTGAGTTCATATAAATCGTCATTTTCATATTTAGCCGCGTATGTCATAAATAACGTTTTACGTCATTATTCCAACTTAAATAACCATTACATCATCAAATCTGTAAAGGATCTCTTATTGGCTGAGCAAGCAGAAATAAAATTAAAATTAAATTTAAATCTTTTTTAAATTCTGTACCTTTAATACTATCTATAAAAAATTATGTTCCTCTTTCATATTTTACAACTTGTATTTCATATCTCATTTTCATTTCTTTTCAACATAGGGACAGATTGTAAATCAGTAATACTGAATCTGTTTTTTTTCCCCTTTTGGGTATTATGCATTATTTATTTATTTTTGTTTACTTGTATTTTTTTTTTTTTATTTATGGTACTCAATAAATTTATTATTATTATTATTTTCCCCGCAACGATGATTGGATATTTTTGTGTTTATTTATTATGTGTTTTGTTGGGGTAACCAGTTCGCGGTATTCTAAACTCTCAAAGTAAATTGTTTTTTTGAAGTAACCAGTCACTTGGATTATGACATAATTTGGCATAATGTAAACTCTTTGTTTGAATCGTTGATAAAGTGTGGCAAGTATTAATCTCATGTAAATTTTGTTAACTTTGCAATTTTTCACCACATACAATATTTCTCTAATCTCACAGTTTTAACCTTAGTAATTTTCCTTTGCTGTTTAAAAAAAATTGGTCTAAAGAGTTTAGACAGTACTTCCCTCGCTGTCGGAAACGTAACGACTGCATGTCTATTATCTTTTTTTTCGGTTTTGTAGTTCTTGAGTAAACAAATAAAATAAATTTACGCATTCATTATTTTTTTTGAGTCACCCAGTATATGCAAATTCAAAAAATATGAATGGAATGATAAATTACAAGTACAGACTCATCATATTTTGTATATTCTAGATAGCATTTATTCGGCAAACTTTTGAGCTGACGTCATCAGTTTTTTGGAGAAGATAACCAAATATATTTTGACTAAAAATTTATTATGCTCTTTATAACCTTAAAACATTTGCAAGATTTCAAAACATTCGGTCCTGGAGTTCCTGATTAAATCAATAAAATACATTTACGCATTCATTAATCTTTTTGGGTCACCCAGTATATGCAAATCCAAAAAATATGAATGGAGCGATATTTCACAAGCACAGACTCATCATATTTTGTACATTTTAGATAGGATTTATTCGGCAAACTTTGGAGTTGACGTCATCAAGTTTTTGGAGGGGATAACCAAATATATTTTGACTAAAGATTTATGATGCTCTTTATAGCCTTAAAACATCTGAAACATTTCAAAACATTCGGATTAGTAGATTCAAAATTAAATTGCAAAATTTTGTCTTATAATTTTGATTTTTTTTTCAAAAATCTGGACGTTTCAGGTAAAAACTCAATTCGGAGACGTAAACTACATGTTTAGGACTATGTTATTTTATACAATTTAAAACCCATTTACTATGTACAATTTTGAAGTGACGTCATCGCATTAGTGGTGGGGATGATTAGACAAATTTTGGTTAGCGTTTTACCATCTACATGATATTCCTAATATAACTACAAAATTTCACAACAATCGGTCCAGTACTTTCGGAGATTATCTGTCTAATAAAAATCCGGGACGCCAGACAGACGGAAATGGGCGACCTATTTGTTCGTTTTCTAGGGGTCATGAAAGATCGAGAAAACGTAAAAGTAGAGAGTCGGCCGACGGACTCGATTACAATACTTCCTTTGCTTACGCTCGGGAAGTAATAATTGAACTTAAATTTCATGTTCTGCAGTTTTAATCTCACATAATATTTGCACAGGTTTATTTCACACCAGATCTTTTGTTTCATACATCTTTGCTAAGTTTTGTTTTGTAAATATTTTGTTGATGAATGTTTTTTTAATCTCACATAAGAATTATTTGTTGTTTAAAATTTCACAAAATTGTATGGCGAATTTAAATGTTGTTTATTGCTCTTTGAAACTTTAACATTTGTTCAGTTGTTATTAATATCAGAGATATAAGAGATTGAACATTTAAAAATGGAATTGAGGTTAAATAACACAGAAAGCGTGGCAGAAGCGAAGTGCGGTTCCTAATCGAGCTGGCGAGATTTATCGCGCTACCTTCACAAGTCTGCGGGTTTGTATAGAGTCAGGGGCGGTTGCGATGTTGTAGTGCTTGGCCCAATAGTCGAGACCTAACTGCGGATCAGCGATCGTAATGGCCTAGTTTCGGACGGCATGTTCGTCCTAGAGATGTGTAATGTGCTGTGCGGGTAGGCTTGCAATAGATAGAATCACCGTCGTGGGGGGAGAACAGCCCCGACCAGTAGCTCCAAGTCCGCTTGTGTATTTGCATCCAGTTACTTTAGATTTTGCTTTGTTTTTATTAAATTTGTGATAATCAAATATTTGCATTGATTCCAAACAGGTGTATAGGATTTTGTGTTTGTTCGTTTTTCATTTAAAATTTGATGTAAATTTTTTAGACAGAACTTCCCTCGTTCTTCTAAGCATCCTGTGCAAAACAAAATGTTTTACTTGAGTCGACTGCTATGTAAATTCGGCAGCATTTAGCAAAATGTTTCATGTAATTTTGAATTCAGGGAAAGTTCTGAGGGTGTAGATATTGTTTACATAAATTCGAAAAAAAACTTAGGTGGCTTATGTGGATAAAGATATTCTTATTTACTCATCTAAACCTTCCTGTACTTACCCTACACTGTACGTACCACTTTCTCGACTTAAGTAAAAAAAATCAATTTTATGTACAGAGATCAAATTTTTCTTGGACATCAACCAACAAAAACTATTTAAAATTTGGACATCAAAATGATTTATTATAAAAATCGAGTTTACACGTCTTTGTTTCAAGCAATTTAATAGTTTGATATTAAAGTGTTTATTTTCACATCGTTCTACAACACAGTGTTGGTAAGGTAACTTTAACGACAATGAAAGGTGTTTCACGATAAGTCTGCACATTTCTTTTAAACTGTTTTTAGCAGTATACTAAGCAAATCTAAAAATATCAAAGTAAAGAGGTCTTATAAGCCTTTAGGTACTCCGTAAAACCATAAATTACGGACTCTTCTAGTGTAAGTTTGATGGTCGGTAAACAATGAATAGAGGAGGGATTGTTTAACTCTGCAACAAATTTGATCGAGATGTCTGTAACGCTCGCGTACAGTTATTATTACACTAGGCAGTGTGGTAAAATATGAACTTGTTTGTGTTCATAAGTCAGTGCGTAGTTAACTTTTAACATTATGAAAATACATATTTTGTTTTGGTATTTAATCGAGATACGTGTCGTCTGTAAAGGATCGGCAAAGATGCTGTATAGTTTTTCAAATTCTGTAGGGTCACATTGTCCCTCTAAACCTAGTAATGCGAAATCATAATCACTTTTGTGTGAAGAGTAACGCATTTTTTGAATCCGTCATTAGAATCGATGATTTACAGTTTTGGGTTTGCCTTATTAAATGCTCCATTATCGGCTTTACCATATCCAAATGTTACAACAGCCACATAATACTACTACAGAACTTGGAAAACTATACTTGGGAAGTTGTTTCACCACATTGTTGGCTTAAGTAACAATACAGGACCATACTTCCACACATTATAAATTTATTTCAGTAACGATATTTTCCGGTAGCCTTTGGATCTCCATGGGACCAGAATCCACTCCGTCGCTTTAGAGATGTCACAACAACCCAAAAAGTAAAACGGGGTATGAAGCAGTAAAATTCAAATACCTCTGCATCAAATGTTGCGATTTTATTTTAACTGTTGAACTTCGTCCTCTTTTGATTTTATTTTCTATTTTGTTAATTTAGAAATCGTTGTTAGATGTAGAAACAGAGAAAATCGAACAGCGAAAAATTGTACTTGTTTAAGATATGTAAGATAAAATATTTATTCTACATTTAATTGTCACAAGTAACAGTAAAACATGTGTTGCATGAATTTTTCGTGTTTCTGTTCCTTTCACCAGTCTCGCTCCATGTCGCAGCGTTTACTATATGAAGTCTTCTATCAGTTAAAAACAATTTAAAAAATGTTCCCATTGTACAAAGTCAGAATTTTGCTACTTGCAAGCTTCAGTTAATAATGCCCGCAACATATTATAACGCATGAAGCGGAAAATTTCGCAATATACTGTTTGAATTACATAATTGTTAATACTTGCAAACAAACTATTTCAACGCATTTTCTACAAGAAAATCGGAAGTACAAACAGTGCTCACTCTTTCAGCAAAAACCTTGTTTATGTTTTTCCAGACATTCAAATTAATTAATCAAACATTTATTTAGTGGGACCGAACTTTAAAATATTTTAACATATTATTAGCGTTTAAAGTATGATTTTAGTAAACAGATATTTAAGTACGGCATATTTTAGGCAAACTTTTTATTGTTACGAGAATATAGAACAAATAAAATTTAAGGTTTTTTTAATGTCTTGTTTATTTGGAAGACATTTCTTGTTATTAAAACCAGTATAAATTGATTGAGTATGAATACAATTTGTTAAAGTATAGTATACATAGAGCATATTGCCTTTTAGAAGCGAAGGAATCTATTTTACAAGCTTGGATCAACAGTATTTTCTTTTGCGTAAGGTTCATATACAAGATTTCTAATTTTACAGCATCAATTCGCTACTTATTTTACGTCTAATAAAAATAAATTTTCAGCATCGCTTCACGCTTAAATCCAACGAAAATCTATTTTTTCTGCCTGTTACAATTAGAACACATTTGATTGTATCATAAATTATAAAAAGTAGGTACTTGATCGATCAATATTACAATTTTTGTTCAATTTAAAAGATTACACTTAAAATAATTACGATTAATTGTAAAGTAATTAAAAAATGTTACATTTACGATGTAAATGGTGCGATACCACCATTTAACATAACAGAACATTTCTACTTTAACAAATACACCAAGTGCTGCACATTGCACATCAGTGATGCATCTTAAAAATTTAAATAAAAAAACTGCACTATAATTACACTAAATATTTACAATAACTTGATCAAGTGCTTTGAACGAAAAATTTACATTCACTATGTATAATCAATAAAAACTTTGTGTATTAAAAATCACTTATGTACAAAACAATTACACAGTTACGAGTCCATGCAACATCTGCATAGACCAGGTCAGGTCAAAAACATCCTGACTCAATAAGCGAATATGGGAAAGTTGATTTCTACGGCTATGCCCATCACAGTATTTAGCTTTTTTTCTAACGAACCCCGGAATTGTCAAGGCCTATGAAACCTGAAAGTAGAAACGTCTATAATACAATTTCACGATCACCCAAATCTATCTCACCTAGTTAAATGCCGGCTACCTTCGTGAACGGCCATCTCAGAGCTCTTGAACTCGTTCAGTTCTTTCCTAATGGCAGCTTTGTCCTTTGGAGTTAGCCTCGTCCAAGGCTTGTCCGCCCTTCGATCGTAATCGTGGGCTTGGGTTACCTCGATATAGTCGTTGAACCGGATGATTTTCTTCTCTTTCAGTTCTTCTACGGTTGGCCGGAAACTTAACTTACGTAAGAGAAAACGCTTCTTTTCTTCTTTCTGTTTCTTTTCTTCAGCTGGACTTTGTTCTAAAGGAACAAACAAAGATTATATATAACAAAGAACTGTTCAAAATGTAAAATGTTATTTTGGTGCATACATACCCGCAGTTCTTTTACTTTATATGAAAATTAATATATATTAAATAAATTACAGAATTGCTGTCTTCTTCATTTTTATTAAAAATAAAAAATTCATCCTGAACACTCCAAAAGGTTGTTGTTTATTCAAATTTTACCTAAATATATATTTCGTGATATTCTCAACAGTGAGTGAATGCCATTATTATTATTATTATATTTTTAAAGCATATTTTAAAATTTATAACAGCTGAGTTTTTTCGCGTTTCTAAGCAAACTTCTTTTTTTATTTAATGTACGTTTTCTATTTCGTTCGTTACAATAAAATTTGTTCCGTTAAGCGAAATCACGCCACTACTAGTTTATTACGATTTAGGTCCACTTACTTTTCAAGATATTCCTCTCTTCCAATTCCTCCTGGGTCGGCCTCATGCTCAGCCTCCTAATCAGCCTGGCGCCGATCGCCTCTTTCGCTTCTTGCCGTTCATTTTCCGACTGTATCTGCAAGATATTCCGGTTGATCAATTCCTGACGGTCCGGTCTCAACGCCAGTTTCAGCGACAAGCTCTCCTTTCTTGCAATTTTCATTGCTAACCGGCTCTCTTCGCTCCCATCCCTGTCTTCATCTCTGTAATTGATAGGACCGTCATTAGAGTCGCTGTCACTACCGTCCTCCTTGATTACGTACGGTCTGGCGTTTTCTTTGTTCTCTAACGTGCACGGCAGACCTATGCCGAATTTTACCGGCTTTGAACTGTAAATAAAACAGAGGTGTTATTAGTGGAAACCGTGATGAGTCAGCTTGTTAGGAATAGGGGAATAGGTTCGCTGGAAGGTCAGCGGAAATATTCCCCGAATTATGTGGAGGTTATGCAGATGGGTGAGAAGTTGATGTAGATCAGCTTCGTGACTGCTCGCAACCAACAATATTTAATTCAGAACGAAAAAGTGGGTGAAAAGTCTAAACAAAGCGATAATAAATCGATATTCTGATGCGTGGTGGTAACAAAAAACGTGATTTTCGTGGAAATTTAAAAACAAAGTGGTTAAAAGTGATTATATAAAAAAGTACGTAAATAATAATACGTAATTGGCTTTTTTTATTTAAAAATAACAGGAACGGTATGTTCGTTGCTCACGCATTGATCACGCGTTTATTACTTTGGTCTGAAATTAAATCCCTAAAGAATTAGAAAATGAGATTGAGAGAAATTATTCCGCGAGGCTCCATCGGTGAATGGAAATTATGATCAGTGATGAGAAAACGTACCCTCTGAAGCTGTAAAAAGAACGATGTATAAAACCGGCAGCCAAGCGTCATCCTTGTACTCAGGCATTTATATTGTGCGTAATGTTTCATTTTCCGTACACGTTATGTAATAAGTATATTACATAATTTGTTGCAAATTGGTAACAAAATAGCTTTAAACACGAATCTTAAAGTATTTTTTTTTTTCAAAACGTTCATGGAAAGCTTTATTGAATTAAGATTTTTAAAAAGTTACAGTTATTATCGGAATGGTCTAGTGGAGGAAGATTATTATTTATCGTGGATTACTGAAAAAATTATTTGATAGATGGACCTCATCCTCATTTAGGACTGCAATTTACAAGTGTTACGATTTATTTAAAAGAAAAATCATGTATTTTTGTATTTTTGGGTTCGCTGCATATCTTTGATCAACAGTTTTCAAGACATTTGGAATTGTCACATTTAAAAATTCACAGCTTTTTTTCATTTTTTTGACTTTTCTCATATTTTTCCTGTATTCTATATCAACATCATGTATTTTATGTTGTTTCAGAAGTTGTGTCAAAGTAAAATTTTCTTTTGATATTAGTCTCACTAATAATTTCAAAAGTATGATGGTTATTTGAAAAATATAAGTAGGGTAACAATTTGCATACCGTTTTGGTTTCAATGACTTAAAACACTTCATTTCTTTATGTTTGTCACAACAATGCAGTCAAAAAGATTCGTGCAAAAGTTACTAATTTTTAAAAACGTCAATTTTATAATATTAAAATCTAAATACATATTTTTCTCATTTTTTTTTTTTAAATTAGGAATCCAAATCTGTCAAAAATTACAGGTCTAGCCCCACCCACCCGCCCCCTATTTTCTCAGAGGATGTCATTTGCCAAAATAAGACTTTATGTTAGCAAGTACTAGCCCCGCTCGTCCGCCCTTTATTTTCTCAGAGGGTAGTATTTGCTACAACTATCCTAGAGAGCTATCCTGCGAGAAAGCAGGGGCGGGTGGGCGGGGCTAGTGTTTGCAAAGGTAAAACTTATTTTGGCAAATGACTTATACTTTCAGAAAATAGGGGTCGGGTGGGTGGGGCTAGCGCACTTGCTACGATAAAACCGATTTTGTCCCGTATTTTTTCAGAGGATATGTCATTTGCCGAAATAAGTCTTATCTTAGCAAGTACTGGCCCCGCCCACCCACCCTTTACTTTCTTAAAAGGTATTTCATCTGCCAAAATCAGTCTTGTCTTACCAAGTACTATCACCGCCCACCTGCCCCCTAGTTTCTCAGAGGAATTGCCAAAATCAGTTTTATATATCTTATGTACGGGGGTTTCAACAGTCCAAAAATAATAAAAAAATTCTTGATGATGTAGATTACGAAAAAAACATAATTTTATAAAAGTAAAATTGGCAACACTGCATGCACCTAATGCATGAATACCTCCAGCTTACTTTCTAATTCCTTAGTAACGATGGTGACTGAAGTCCCCCTTTTATTCTTTCTTAGGACAATAACCATAGTCATTGATCGTTGTACATTATTATTATTATTATTAATAAAACAAGCTGTTATTTTTCATTAAGAAATAAACCAAAAAGACATTTATAAATTCTAAACCAAAAGAAAAATCCATTATAGCATCAACAACTAAACAGAGAAGGTGTTCAAAATTCCTGCCTTGTTCATATAAGTAAGCTTGTAATGTTTCTAAATTTTGATCATTTTTTGTAAAAGTTACGTCATCAGTACTTGCTAAAATACAACTGATTCTGGCAAATGGCATACCCTCTAAGAAAAGAGAGGGTGGGTGGGCGGGGCTAATATCTGCTAAGATAAGATTGATTTCGGCAGATGAGATACCATCTAAGAAAAGTATTATTATTATTATTAATAATAAAACAAGCTGTTATTTTTCATTAAGAAATAAACCAAAAAGACATTTGTAAATTCTAAACCAAAACAAAAATCCATTATAGCATCAACAACTAAACAGAGAAGGTGTTCAAAATTCCTGCCTTGTTCATATAAGTAAGCTTGTAATGTTTCTAAATTTTGATCATTTTTTGCAAAAGTTACGTCATCAGTACTTGCTAAAATTCATGATTCTGGCAAATGCAATTCCCTCTAAGAAAAGAGAGGGTGGGTGGGCGGGGCTAATACCTGCTAAGATAAAACTGATTTTGGCAGATGAGATACTCCCTAAAAAAGAGAGGGCGGGTGGGTGGGGCTAAAACCTGCTGTGATGAGTGATTTTGGCAGATGAGAAGCCCTCTAAGAAAAGAGAGGGTGGGTGGGTGGGGCTAGTATCTGCTAAAATAAGACTGATTTTGGCAAATGATATACCCTTTAAGAAAAACGAGGGCGGGTGGGCAGGGCTAGTACCTGGTAAGATAAAACTGATTTTGGCAGATGAGTTACCCTCCAAAAAAAGAGAGGGTGGAGCTAATACACGCTAAGATAAGATTGGCAAATGAGATACTCCCTAAGAAAAGAAAGGGCGGGTGGACGGGGCTAATACCTGCTAAGATAAAACTGATTTTGGGAGATGAGATACCTTCTAAGAAAAGAGAGGGTGGGGCTACACGCTAAGATAAGACTGACAAATGAGACACTCCCTAAGAAAAGAGAGGGCGGGTGGGCGGGGCTAATACCTGCTGAGATAAGATTGATTTTGGCAGATGAGAAACCCTCTAAGAAAAGAGAGGATGGGTGGGTGGGGCTAGTATCTGCTAAGACAAGACTGATTTTGGCAAATGAGATATCCCCTAAGATAATAGAGGGCGGGTGGGTGGGGCTAATACGGCTGAGATAAGATTGATTTTGGCAGATGAGATACCCTCTACGAAAAGAGAGGGTGGGTGGGGCTAGTACCTGCTAAGATAAGACTAATTTTGGCAAATGAGATACCCCCTAAGAAAAGAGAGGGCGGGTGGGCGGGACTAATACCTGCCGACATAAGACTGATTTTGGCAGATGAGATATTCCCTAAGAAAATAGAGGGCGGGTGGGTGGGGCTAATACGGCTGAGATAAGATTGATTTTGGCAGATGAGATACCCTCTAAGAAAAGAGAGGGTGGGTGGGGCTAGTACCTGCTAAGATAAGACTAATTTTGGCAGATGAGATACCTCCTAAGAAAAGAGAGGGCGGGTGGGCGGGGCTAATACCTGCTGAGATAAGACTGATTTTGGCAGATGTAATACTCTCTAAGAAAAACGAGGGCGGGTGGGTGGGGCTAGTACCTGGTAAGATAAAACTGATTTTGGTAAATGGGAATAACTTCGTCACTAAAATAGGTTGACGCTGTGAATGACTGGTAAGAGATATGAGTATCAAATTATGCTCCAATTCTACGTTTTAGGGCATGATTATATTATTATCGAAGAACAAAATTATACATCAAGTTTCAGGTTTCAGCTAAATATGCAGTGCTAAATCACTATGGAAATCATATTTTACATTTATGAGGAAGTCTTCAAAAAGTTGAAAATAATTATGCGGCACTTTTTTGTAGTATAAGTTGCTTCCAAAATATGGGAATCTTTTGAGAATAGCCCAAGAAAATACGAGAAATCGTGAACTATAGAAAAAGCCAGTGTACAAAATTTGGTCTACTGACTGTATGCATTATGTTTTGAGAAAGACGCAAAAAACTGTCGCACATTTGTAAGTCTATTTAATGTAAAGTTCTTATTTTTGATTACATGATTTATATTATTTTAAGTCGAAACAACAACAAACACCAAATGCTTCGTTGTTGAGATGGTGAAATTTTAAATTTGAAAATGGAGTTGTCATGCTTTGATGCCAAGCTGTGGATTTATAGCAGTGTGAGAGTCAAGGGTACGGATTTGTCGTAATTTGAAATTGATAAACACATATTTAAATGATTAATAAATAGATGATATTTATTTTATTAGGAGTTTAAGTGATACTTTAGGTGCCAAGTATGGACATGTCAGTCTTTGAAGCTTAAATTTTGAACAAATTATTAGTTGTAACTCAAAATTTACAAAAAGCGGAATCAACGGGTTTTGATTCTAGATGACTCCTTTGTTTGTTGGAAGTAAAACTAGATTTGGACAAAAATAAAATCGGTTAAACTAAAAAAAATGAACTAACTATCAAAGAACAAAGTATCTCTTATACCTAAACTTCAACTTTCTCTATATGCACCTCGTTCTTCTAAAATTTTCCTTCTTATTTTGCGTTGTTCTTTTTTAACATGTATTCGAACCCGAAACAAAGAAAATAGTTTTAAAAATTTTAATTTAATATTATGACAAACTGGCAATTTAAAACTTGCAATTTGGTGATCAAGTTTCATTTCGTGTTAATACAAAGTTTTTCTTCAGGAATTACCTTCTTTAAATTTTCAAAAAAAATTTCCATAGTTAAAAACAAATTAAATACAAGTTCTGTTGGATATGAATTAACTCTACATTCTCTTAAAAAAACGAATTTCGTATAAGGCCTAGAAATTTTTTTGGTAATAATTGCTTGTAGACAATTAACACACTTTAAATTTCGTCTAATTCTTGCCAAAATATAGCCAGCAACATTATACAAACAATTTTGTGGCACAATACAAAACGCTTGGTTATAACTGTTCCAGCCCCTTGGAAGAGAAAGTGTCCAGACTGCAGAAGAAACGGCATTACTTGAAGCTGGTAAATCTCAGTATGGTAGAGGAAGCTCTACAGTACTGCTTTCCAGACGTTAAAGACGTCTCATCTGAATATAAACAACAGTCTTTTTCGTAGTCTTTAAAATCTTTAACTTTTAAACTTAAATAATAAAAAATTTCGTGTAATATACCTGGGTAGAATTTGCATTGCTCTATTTTCCGACGTAATGTATGCAAAGATAGCAATAAATAGATTAATTTTAATAAAGATTCATAGCCTGAAGAACCACAAGAAAATTTTATGGACAGTGCTTTTTCTACAGTCTCGAGGCTCCACCTCCTCAATTTTTTTGACTTAAATGCATTTGTAATTACTTCTTTGTTCACTTCAAATTTACCTGCAATCACCAGTTTGTCATTAATTTTTAATTTTTAAAAATTCAAACTGTTAATTTTTTCTTTTAAACAACCAATTTCGTCTTCTTTCTTCTGCAACAAATTTTGGTAGTACTTTCCTAAACACTCGATTGGCGCTATTAATTCTTTTTCAGTGGCTATTAAATTTTGAATTTTGATATTTTGTTCATTAATTGTTTGTTCCGGATTAACAATTTTAAATGGTGTTTTATCTTTAAAATCTTGAACATGAAAATATTGCGGTAAAACGTTCTCTTTTAACTTTAAGTCGTATTCGAAATGTTCTTGATCAAAGTGCACCTTAAAATATAATTCTTGTCAAGGAACTCTAGTGTAAAGATAAGAAAGAATAAGATTCAAGATTCATTTATATCTGTTTACAAAGCCATTCATCGACATATTTCGTTGAATCAACATGGGTTTGTTGCGTCGTAAATTCACTATAACGAAGCTTCCAACTGCTGTACAGTTTATCTCTGAGGGAATAGATGAAAGAGGTCAGGTGGATGTTTATGGGCTCATATCTGTCGTCTAGGATAAATTACATCTTTTACACGGTTTCAGATTGTGAGAGTATTTATCATTTCAGGGGTGGCTCAAGGTTCTAATCAAGCTCCCTTGAGGTTTGTGCAGACGATCTACGCTTTTCCTTATATCCTACGTACCTACTTGTACTACTAATTTGAAAACTCGCTTAATCATTAAGTAGAATAGCAGATTAATCTACTAACATAAGTCAAACGACAACGTCTAATGAGTAGGTAATTTAAATTATATCAGGAATCAAGTATCCTTGAAAAACACACTTAAACTACATAAAAAATGTTTGCCTGTAGTGGGGTGAATGCAATTAAACTGAATCTTTCCCAAACCAATATTAAATCCCTCGCCTGGAACTCGAAACCTCCGTAGAATTAAATTTTCAAACTCTATTAAATATATCTCTTCGTGAACGTTTCGTTTCCTGGCACAAATCTAAACCCGGATGGATATTGCAACAACATACGAGCCCTCAGAACGAACATCTTTTAAAGTAACGCCAGAAATATCCAAGAATTCGTTCCTAAACGAATTCTGCCATACCAACAACATGCATATTTAATACAGCAATTCCTTTCCTTCACGTTTCGAATTCGTTTTGTAAAACAAAAATTATTTTAAACTTTCCCCGCTTTGCGCAGTTAAATATTGTTGGTTGCAGTTTATCAAACTGAAACTAACCGTTTTGGGCCATCTAACCAATCATTTCATTACAATAACTGACACTATGACAGAAATAAATCAACACACAATCAAAAATAAAATCACACCCCAACCAAGACCCAGTAAGAATAGAGGTGTTGATGATGATGAGAGTCAGAAGAGGCGGGGAAATGTAACAATGACAATGTGCACACTACATATAATAATTACCATATTCTTATCCGAGGCCTCATAGGGGGCCTTCTGGACGAACAAAGCAAAATAAAGAAAGTTAGTTTTTGCCAGACACGAAATGGCGCAGCAGATAAAACCGTACAGATTTTTTGCTTAACTTACTTGAAACTCGCATTGTGTTCGGTTTGAGCTTGTCGTATTGTTAGCGGTCTGTTTTCTTGCGTTGGTGTGTTCTGAGGCGTGCCGGGTCCGCTGCCTCCGCTGCTCTTCTTTTTTAATGCCGATTTTAACGGTATCGCGTTGAATTTTGGCTCTTTGGCTGGGATCTCATCGATTCGACTTGTGTCGATTGTGGGATCCGGCTGGGGCATTCGGAACATATACGACGAATTGTCATCCAAGTTGTCGTAGTCGATCTCGTCACCGTCGTCATCTTCGTTCTCTGGAAGGACACATTATGACATTAAACTGTATTAATTATATTTTTCTATTGCAGTATACACTAGTTTATACACACAATGAAGTTCCATGACCCGTCCTATGTGAAGGAAACAGAAGCTGAAGCTCAGAAATTCGCCAAGAAGTCTAAAATAAATTTCAAAACAAATGCGTTTCCAGTTGATAAACAACCACGGTTAAATTTCACCAGAGGTAAATGAACTCGAAAATAAACGAAATGACAGAAAAACAAACGAAAGGACAGAGTGGAGAGAGGTAATTAGGGTTTGAAAGCTAGAGTTAAGTCGCCCCACGCAAATTTCTCCATTTGAACTGAGGTTGATAAACAAACGAGGGTTCAGATTGAAACAACATAATATAAAAAAAGTAAATACGTACAATTTTTACTTGATTGTTTCTAGCAAACTGACGCATTTTTTTACTTGTGAAGCCGATTCGACTACGGTTCAAATGGAAAACTACATATATTATTTTTCGGTACAATATACCGTGTATGTATACAAATTAAATATGTGTCCTAGAATAAACGGGATGTTTCGGTTCACCTGTTCTGTGGTACTTTAATATCTAGGTTATTTCAGAAGATAAAAACAGTCTAGAACGGTCAATTGCGACAAAGAAATCTAAAAAATAAAGATAGTTTTAATTCACTGTCTAATTTTCCCGTTTTCTTAATTTTTTTCGTTATTTTTGGCATGAGGCTCAGGTCTATCACTTACTCTGATTGATTTTTTTTTGCTTTCCCATTTATTTATTCTGTATTTTATTTACTTACACGTTTTTATTTTTTATTTTGACATGTAAGGGGACTAAATGAAATGTTATATCACTCAAAAAAAAAGAAATAAAATTATGTTGTTTGAAAAACTTAAAAAACATATTAATGTCTCTTCTAGAAACGTCATCATCGCATTCCGTAGTATGGTCATTTTATAGACCTTTACATCAATTGACAGTAACAAATTTAAAAATTTTGTTCTTTTTTTTTTTAAATAAATGTTAGGTTAAAGTGGAACGAGAAACGGGCCAGCCACAATTTATTTTTTTTAAAGCATTTGATCAAATAAATTGTGAATTCTCTCAATCTAGTTCTTGTGATTTTTGCTAAGATCTTATATACTACATCAAGTACAGCTATTCCTCTTCTAGCTAGTTTTCACATTCCGTTTTGTCTCCTTTTTTAAATATGGGGCAGATAATGGCTCTGTTCTATCATTTCGGTGTTATCTCCTCTTGCCATATTCTAAGTATTAGTTGATATATTCTCTTAGTAAGTTGTTCGGCTCCTATTTTCAGTAGTTCTGCAGGTATTCCATTTTCTCCGGGGCTTTTATGACATTTCATTTCTTGTATCATTCTACTCACTTCTTGTCTTCTTGTTTTCACTATTTTTGGCTGTTGTTCTTCCTCCGTCTTGTCATTTAGTAGGTTTTCAAAATATTCCGGCCATCTGTCTAGTTTTTCTACTGTATCTCCAATCAGTTGTCCTTCTTTACTTCTGCAGTATACTGTTCTCATGCTCGCGGTCTGTCTTGTCTTCCTGACTTCTTGGTAGAAGTTTTGTATCTCTTTTTTTGGTAGTGTTTTTCTATTGTATCCATTTTTTTTTCAAATGTTCTCTTTTTCCATCTGCATTTTGTTTGGTTATTTTCCTTTTTCTTCATAATCTTTTATAGCTTTCTTTGTTGGTTTTCGATCTATTCTTATTTTTGCAATGTTTCTATTTTTCAAGACTTTCTTACATTTTTTATCATACCAATCTTCCTTTCTACTTCTTCGTTCGATATTGTCCATGTATTTCTTTGCTGTTTCTACCACTTCTACTTCAATTTGGCTCCATTTGTCTTCTATTGTTTCGTGTGTTGTATCTTTACTTCCTAGTATTTTATTTAATTCTATTTCAATTTGTTGTTATTTTTTTGTCCTTTAGTATCTCGACATTGCCTCTTTTTGTTTCTTTTTTTGGTTTTCTATTGGTTGGTAGTTTTTCTTTTCTTTTTGTTATAACTAGCGTGTGGTCGCTGTTAGCATCTGATCTAGTTGTGCTATTCTATCAAAAATAAGAAAAGATCGAAAACCAACAAAGAAAGCTATAAAAGATTATGAAGAAAAAAGGAAAATAGCCAAACAAAAATGTATACGGAAAAAGAGAACATTTGAAAAAAAAAAAAATGGATACAAGAGAAAAACACTACCAAATCGTATCGTCTCTATTTTCTATTAGAACATGGTCTATTTGGTTCTTTGTCTTGTTGTTCGGGGAGGTCCATGTTTTTTTATGTATACTTTTATGATCAAAATGAGTGCTTAGTATTTTTATTTTATTTTCTTCAGCAAACTATAAGCATTTTTCCATTTTCGTTGCTTTCTTTGTGTAGACTTTTCCCTCCGATGATATGCCGGAACTATTTTTATGTCATATTCTGGGATTTGTCTTATTATATCTGCAATCGTTTCATAGAATTCATTTTTTATTTTTATGTTTGTCTCTTCCGTATGTGCATGTCCATTTATGATGCTTATTTTTTATATTTTCCTCGGATTCTTATGTAACATATTCTGTCCGATATTGATTTCAAGTCTATCACGGTCCTCTTCAATCTTTCATTCACTATAAATCCAGTCCCAAAGTACCTTTTGTTTCCTCCACTTTTAAAGAACACGTTTTTTCTGATCTCCATAACTTCATTTTCTTGCTGCTTTGTTTCTTGTAGGGCTAATATGTCCAGCCGATACTTTTCCATTGTGTTTATCAGGTTTCTCAGGGCTCCTTCTTCGGAAGTGCCTCTTATCTTCCATATTCCCAATTTAATTATTGATCTATCACCTTTATTCTCCTTTCCTGCTCCTTTTTTTCTTGTTTTACCATTTCGTGTCCCTTTATCTTGCCATGTCGTCTTCGTTCGTTCCGAGTTTTTTCCGCCTTGTCTAGTTTTTTAATTCTTTGTTTTTGTCTGTATCAATCCCATTTTTTTCCTTATTACGATCTTTTGCTATCCTACCTTGATTCTCTTCCCCTTATTCCTTTCTAGTTGTGCTATTCTTCGAAGTTCCTTTTGTATTATTCTTTCTTCCTTTGACATGTCATCATTTATATAAATTGGCTCGTCATTTCTGGTTTTCAATTTACTTTTGATTTCCATTATTTTCATTTTATCTTGGATACTGTTCAATTCCACCACAGCAATTTTCTCCCTCAACTTCCTTACTGTGTTTACTTCTATCCTTACTCCCAATTCTTTGTCCATAAAATTTTTCATTGTACTTGTACTACTATATTTTTCTTCCTCTTTTCCTTTTCTAGCTTTTCTATTCTCTTAGGCAACTATCATTTCTTTTTTTAGCCCATCCAGTTCTCTTACCATTTTCTCATTAGATTCTTTTAGTTGTATTATTTCTTCTTCATATTGTTCTTGGTTTTGTGCTATCTCACTGATTTCTTTTTTCACTTCCTTTATTTCTTCGATTGTTCTTTTTTGTTCTTCTCTAATTGTCTTCGTATCCTCCACGACTGCTTTCAGCATCGTCATCATTTGCTCTATTTCCGTCCTCTGTTTTCCGTTTTATTTTCGCCTTTTTGCGGTGTCTTCGGTGTTATTTTCGATCTTCTTGTGATGTCGATACCCTCTTCTCCGTTCCTTTTCCTCCCTTCATCGGCTGAACTCTCTTCCGATTTCATGTTGGGATCATTTTCGTCGTCTATTTTCATATCTATTTTGTTCATAATCCGCGGAAGAGGCGGTAATCAGTCGACCTGTTGGATCGTCCTCCTCTATCGGATTTATAGTTCGTCGGTGTTTTAATGTTTTTCTTTAAAAATCCGCTCATTTCTCCGTCTGTTTTTTATCTTCAGCTGTTATCTGTTTACACTTCGTTTTTAACTCAGATTTACCTACCTTTACTTCGAGGGTATCTCATTTCCCAAAATCAGTCTTATTTTAGCAGGTACTATCCCCGCCCACCCACCCTCTCTTTTCTTAGAGTCTGTCATCTGCCAAAATCGGTTTTATCTTAGCAGGTACTAATTAATTCTTAAGATTTTATCATGATTTTGAAAAGAGAAGTATCAGATTATCTTCTCACACATTGGATTAAAAAATTAACTTAGATCACAACAAATATTCTCCTGCACAAACTTTTATCATTTCTCCTTCAACTCTGTGTAACACGCTTACGAAATTTTGTAAAATAAAAAAAGCAATTGATTTTTTACATACAAAAGAATATATTACGGTATAACAAACCAACGAGGATACCGTGTATATGCATAAATAAGCCGATACGAGTTACATCAAATCCTCACGTTCTAGTAATAAAGTTAAGCAATATTATCTATTCTTTTTGAACAAACATAAGCAATGTATATGTACATTATAAAATAATGTTGGCACCGAATCTGCTCGGTTGGATATAGTAATGGAAATCTGAATTTTTAACAGGTTATTTCAACCCGCTATTACGAGTTAGGTATTCTGAGCTTAATCCCGTTGTAAACGGAAAGGTTTTTTATTAAATTATTATTACGTTTCCATGTCAAACATCATGAGTTTTCGTAGACAGACTGTGTCGACAGTACGCAATTCATCATTTAAATGGTCTACGTCGTCTGCTTCTATTTTTGGTTAATGTATCAAAATGTAGAAAATTGCCTGAGGGTATATTGCAGGCTCATCAATCAACTTACAGAAGAATGATTTACAAATCAATAGCCTGATACTTTCTAAAAGACAATTTAATAGTTAAGTTGTCTATTGGAAAGTGAAATGTCTAATAACTCGTAATAATATTCTAGTATAGTTTACCGAATTCTGTAAAACTAGTAAAGGGCATAACAATCCCTTTTGTGCGGTTTGTCACTGGCACGAGCCTATACCATCATAAATCAATATTTTTGTGCCAACATCTTCTCAGCGGGTGCAGGTCTGGCTTCAGTTATGTTGCTCTGTTTATAAATGATACATAACAGCAAATTTATATGAATCCGTACGGAAACGGGAGACCTATTTCTTCGTACCCTAGGGGCCATGAAAGTTCGAGAAAACGTTTACAATACTCGCTTCGCTTACGCTCGGGAAGTAAAACAATTTTTATACCGAAATTCAAAAAGCGGCTTTTTAAAATGTGTAATTTACCAAGTCGAAAACAAAGTGGCCCTCAACTAATTGCATTACCATGCCTTTGATATTTTAATACCGGCAAGCCCGCCCCTCCCCTCTCCTCTAAATCAAATTACCTTCGTACTCGTAGTCGCCCATTTGTGGCGGCGGCGGCGACTGCCGATTCGGCACCGGACTGGGCGAACTGAACATCGGCGGTGGGGGGATGGGCCCAATTTCTGATACAGGAATGGGCGGCTCTGGCAAGTCAGAGAGCATCAAGCCGGGATCGGATATGGGGGGCGGAGGTATGTTGTGGGACTGTTTCTCGTGCGGAGGCGGCGTGCTGCCGGGGGGACCTTGTTGACCATCGTTGACTGGAAAACACTCGTTAATGAACATCAAACACGAAACTTTTTTACTTACAGTGTTCACTGTGGTAGCACAAGAGTCGCCTCGTCAGCCTCCCGTGGCCTAACGTGTTGGGCCGCTCCGGCTTGCCCGGAGTCGCCTCCATTCCGGGAGGTTGGGTAACTTGTGAGGGCGTATCTCCATTGGGAGACAGGGCGCCGTTGTGTGCCGTTCCATCAGTCTTTTCTTTTTTCGGCTCTGGAATTAAATTGAGACTGGTGAGAAAAGATGCTGACGAAGGAAGGTATTCACAAATTGGGTAGATGAAATTAGGACAAACGTGTTAGTGGGAAACGACGATCTTAACGTGGAGCTACTTTGCGGGCGAAAGTTGAAAAAGTTTATTTGAACTTGGAAGTACACAAGCTTTGCCCTTAGGACAAAACCGTAATAATAAACCTAGTGTTTGAGGCAAGCGCCAGTTTATGAGCTCGTCTGGGTTGTTTCGTAACATGTGGCGGACTCACACCACAGTTTGATAGTTGTGGGCAGATTTGTAGGGCTGAATTTCGTAATTGGAAAACCCTAGCTGCCTCTATCTTTCACCCGTCGACTTGGCTCAAATACCTACAGGAACACCAATATATGTATACAATAATAAGTGCACTACAGTATTTCAAAAATTACATATTTTGATCTAAAGAAAATATTATTTTTGGGACGCAGCCTACAACAATTTTTTAAATGCGACATATATCTATACGTTTTTTGAAATTCCAATGATACAAAATAAATCCGGCGCAACTTGACCGTACTCTCGTGACTCAACTGGCTGAATAATAATCGTTCCCGACGGTGGTCTCTATTTAAACTTATACGTTCCTCTCGATAGTTCGAGAACACCGCTTCGAGGGTTTTCTGGGTTGCCCATTGCAAATTTCGCTTCCAGGTTTTTCGTCAGCGAAGCCCGCGCCGCTTGGCCGATGAGTCATTACCGCCGTACATACCGCAATAAACACATACGTACTAGAAGACCCATAGGCGTCGTACCGGAGCGGCGTATGGGATTCTTTCGTAACAGTATCTTATGGGGAAAAAAGGTATGCGCTTTTTTGTGGCACTAATAATAATAAATGCCTGGGTATACAGTCAAAACATCTACAATATGTAATAAGAAATTTAACACTTGTATATTTGACAAGAATTGTAAATCATAGGTAGCTTTAAGTGAGTTCTCGAGAACACGATAAATGTGGGAGCGTTTAGGACAATTGCATTAAGTTTCTGTACCGAACAGGTGTCTATTACCAAAGATACTATAAATATCGATCCCTTCCTTGTTGATTCAAAGCAAACATTAAATTTGTAAGTGGGTAACAATTGAAACGAAAGCACGTGAAGAATGGGCCTTGGACACGTCAGTTTTGGAAAACGTCCAAAAATTAAACAGCGAAATGTGAGTCATTTCCACAGGCGTAGTTATAAACGTTGCACTTGTAATTTCCACAGCTATAAAAATAAATGTTGGTGTTTAAGAAAACAATATAGTGCTTTTATTTATTACTTTTGTATTTTGTTTTTTGAGACAATAAATACTCACAAACCTGTCTAAAAATAAAACGACGGAACTTATTGTATTTTGTTGGAGTGGCCTTAAGGTAACTTGATTCGTCTTAATACGTACACCTGATCACACTGTACTACATCCTAGCGGCTTACTCGCCCACTCCCCTAAATCGTTCTTCCAACCTTAAATATTCCAAACAAAATCTCCCCATTTATCCCGACACATTTTTATAACGCAATTACAAAAACCAATATTGAAACGACCAACCCCCTTACTTAATGGATTTTCCCTTTTTTAATTTACGACAGTTTTATTGCGCACGTCCTAAACGCTTGAATTTAAAAATCGCGAAACTTCTTCCCAATTGAATATTTAAGCCCAGATATAAAAAAATTTACAGCTTCCCTAAAAATCATTAAACCGCAGAACGCCACTCCCAACCACATTTCTTTGTTGCGGTGAAACCCGAGCGCACACATCAATCATCTCGTCACGTTCCCTCCTAATCCCCCCCGAAACCCGCCTATGGCGATTTGGATTTCGAACAGTTTTACGTAAAAGCGATTCGAAGCATGTGGAAACGACACCGTTGGGAGTTTCGCAAGGTCGTCGAAAATAGGTTCCTGCTTTGTTTTATGGGCTTTTTACGGGCAGTGGTTAATGGAGGACTACGTGGGGTAAAACCGCCGACGGTAATCTAATAACTCAATCAATCCTTATAGTTCTCGCCCTTGGGCTAGGGCACTTACGAGTGGCTTCATTCAAGAAACGTAGTCCATTGTTTATTAAACAAACGCGAAAAATCTATAAAACTGCGAAAAATAACCAAATGCAATTTCGTTTTAGCGAGAATGTTTGTTTTTAGTGTTGCAAAGTTGGAAAGTGTTGTTAATGTTGGAAAACGCAAAAAATGTTTATTTTTGTTTAACGTAGTTGTTGGCAGAACATTTTGTTGTTTACATTACGTTGAGAACGTGGACTGGCTGTTGTGGTGCAAGTACCATTTTAGAAAAAAAAACCTATGTTAATCTTGTTAAAAAATATTAAACCTTCGCTCGCTTTCTATATAATTCACAACTTTGACGTTTGGAAACTTAAAATTCTAAAAAAAATCTAAAAGTCCCAAAATATTAAACCAAATTTCTAAATTTATAGAACTTGTGAAAAACGGAAATAAATATCTCGTATCTTATTGGCTCATCTGCCGTCTTACTTCTTATCCCATTTCCATTCAACATAAATCTTCCGTTTTCACCCTTACCTAACGAAATTTTAATTAATTTAATCCTTTCTCTTAACTATCGTCTCACCCTCCCAAATCGGTTTACAACATACCTGTGCATCGTAAATCTGTCTTCTTTTTGCAGGATTAAAAATGCACGAGTTATCTAGACTTATACTTTTTTATCCCCCAGTTTTTCAATTTTTCCGCCCGTAACTTTTCTAATATAAACCTATTTTCAAAATTTCGAATGACGACACTGAGTCCCAATAACTCGGTTCGCTTGGGAAAAATCGCGGATCAGTTGGATATAACCATCATTTTCAAAAAACGCTAAAATAGTTCTAAAAAAAAATATTTACATTGTTTGGTTACAAGTGCATCCGGTATTTTCTTATAGCTTAAGTCTATTCCATTGGAGTAATTTTAGTTCCATATTTACAAAAAAAAAGTGGCCTTATTGCCTTTTGGCTTTATTTTTCAAATTTGGAAAAGTTTCTCGATAAAAAAAAACAAACTTTTGAAACTAATCTTTCTCAGGAAATATATGGGCTTAGCAAAATTTAATACTTTTCTCCCTTTTTGACGTCTCCATAGATATGCCCACAACTTCCTGCCCGTCAGCCCTAATTTCGCGTCGTCCTGCCTTTCAAGTCGCGTCCCCCCAAGAAACACAATCTTATCTCCTCACCGCGAAACGACCTCTTGTATCCAGGGGGCAGAAACGCCGCCGGCGGCGTTATCGGTACTGCCGTGTCCCAATAGGGGACAACATCCGGCTGGCATTGTCCTCCGTATCCGGGCAGTTCCAACTTGTGCTGCTGCTTCTCGCATCGCTTCCTGCGACGTCCGCTCGGCGTAAACGTCTTCACCAGAAAGCCCACGCCGCTCATGACGTCACGGAACCATCACCGCACCGATTCTCTATTTATTTACGTTTTTTGTTTTTGTGCTTTGTTGTCTGTCTGAGTCGCGCGGACAGAACCAACAGGTCTCGGCGGAGCGCCCGCTTTGACTGGCGTCGCGACGCGCCGCCGTTCAGACTGGTGTGCGTGGGCGTCGGAACGCCCGGTCGGATCGTTACCATCCTGCAGCATCAGTGACGTCATCGCGCCTTACATCAACATTGGGAGATTTTGGCCGGGACACGCTAGCCTTGACTCTGCAAGGGACGTCACAATGGGAGGATGCGATGGAAAAGTGCTGGGCTCAAGGAAGTTCTTCCAGGTGGACGGCGTCTGGGTGAATTATGAAAATTTACTCGGAGAGGAGCACGTCGGCATCAATCAAGGCTGAAGTTGAGAGGCAGACGGAAGGGTAAACATCGGGTGCAGGAGATAATTCAACGTCATGAAACTTTATTGTTGGGAATTTTCTGGTTATTGATCACAAACAATAAGTCTTCAGAGTTAAAACTCAAACATTCTAAATTATTTCAAAACATTAATAGAAAAAAAATTGAGATTTACTTGTTTTGAATTTAAAACTGTTATACACTGTTCCATGTTTATACCGTTCTTCATCTTTCTCCTAAAGAGTATCAATCCAATGATGAAGCTTTATCAATAATCTTCCAAGTGTGGAGACAGTGAGTTCAGGTTAAAGTTCTCGTAAGCTAGACTATTATTAGGATTCTCGCCTCATTTAAAGATTCCAATACAATCCAGACGATATCGGGTTTTAGATTATTGTGTTGGAATACGAACTCATATCCAATATGTGGCATAAATTGGAGACAGTATTGTTACCAATTCATATAATTAACAATCACCATATGCTCTATTTTGCAATATGTTGCAACGGTTCATCAAAACACATAAATTGGTTTATTTGATGAAAACAACCGCAAATTTCATTGATCAGTAGTCGTTCGCATGTTTGTTCACACATTGTCTAGAAAGCTCGAGCGGTGAGGTGAACTTACAACGAACTAAACACCAAAATCTTTCGTCAAATTAGCAATGTTCGGCCAAGAGGTCACTTGTTCATGTGTTATTAATCTTTCTATTTTACGATTTAGTAGCAATATGCATGAATCTGATGATGGCGTACTTAAAATTTTTAGAGGTAGTAGCGGGAGTTTTAATAGTCTCATAATATTATGTCGTTTTTACTATTTTTCGGTCAACAGAAATACTATGATACATCTACTTAAAATATAAAATTATTATCGAAATGGAGGACTTCCAATTAGAGAATGGACTCTTAATGCAACCCACAGACCACTAGCAACAATAGGGTAGTTATGTAAATTTTAGACGATAGCACTATACATAAATGTTTGTTTCGTGACCTCCGTGTTCACTTGACTTGACTCCATCTGATTTTTCTATGTTTATCTATTTAGAAAATGGAGTATTCCGAATATAAAATTTCGAGAATTAACGGACGACATTACAAACTGATGAAATTTAACATCGGAGTTTTAAAGCTCTAATTACTTCTTCTTTTTATTATGCCGTTAATCTT